ATTTTGTAATATTAGATTGTTTAAGAATTAAACTTTATAATTTTTTTAGTTTATTTTTTATGAAGTTATCTCGATCTCATGACTTAAATAACAGAGTTAACGGATTGGTCTAGTTAACTCGAGTTTTTTTATTTTTTTAATTTTATCATTTAACACTTGATTAATTATGAATTACACTTCATGCTTTACTTTGATTTGTATTTTACAAGATTATCTTGGTCCTATAACTCAAAACGTATTTCTCAAATTAACACGAGTAAATTAGTATTATTTTACTATATCTTATTTTTATATTAATTTTTTTATTTTAACATTCAATAATAAAACTATTTATATTTCACAAATTGTCTTAATTTGCCCTCTAAATGGGGATATCAAAGTTTTGTGATCTTAGTTGTGAATTTGATAAATTATCTCATATTATTATTTTTATTTATTTTTATGATATTATCCTAATTTCATAAATTAAATAATGTATTTGACAAGTTAACTTATGCTAATTTTTTTAATTTTATTATTTATTATTTAATATTAAAAATTAAATTTTATTATTTATTTTAACTTAATTTATATAAAATTATTACAGTTTCATGATTCAAATAGAAAATTTGGTAAATTAATCTTGATTGAAACATATTGATCAAATATTTTATTATTTTAATATTTTTTTAAATATTACTTTAATTTTTCACCTATCTAACCTATTTTATTAGTTATTTGTGTTGTTTTTGTTTTATTATTTGATTCAAGTTATATTAATTTATTTTTCATAATATTAATTCTTTTTTAAAAATATACAGTAATATAGAGTACAGGATTGAATCATTGGTTTTTATCTCACAAAAGAAACACAACTCGTCCACGCTGGCAATCGTCTTCTGTAAACCACAACCAATCAAAATAACCATCTTGCTTTTGGTGATCCTCGTCGACTAATAAGATAAACAAATCACAGCCGTTCTTCCAGTTTTAATTCTCCATTTTGCCACTATATAAATCCAATCCTGTACTGACGTTGCCAAGTCAAACAGCAAATTTTTTCATCTCTCGTGATTTCGAAAGAAAATGGCTCGTACAAAGCAAACTGCTCGCAAATCAACCGGCGGTAAGGCTCCCAGGAAGCAGCTCGCCACCAAGGTCCGTATCACTAGGGTTTCCCTTGGTTTTTAATTATCATTAAAATCATTCTCTTGATTAATCCCTTCAGTATCTTTCTTTCCAAACCTAGGGTTTCACGATTTAATTTTAATTGCCCTGTCCCTGATTTGCTCGATTAATGGTAATTAATTGATGTCATACAGGCGGCAAGGAAGTCTGCTCCTACCACTGGTGGAGTCAAGAAGCCTCACCGTTACCGCCCTGGAACTGTTGCTCTACGGTAACGATTTCCCTAATTTATTTTTGTTTCGTATCTCATCTTTGAAACCCTAACTGCAACTTTCTTTCCTCAACAGTGAAATCCGAAAGTACCAAAAGAGCACTGAGCTTTTGATCCGCAAGTTGCCATTCCAGCGCCTTGTTCGTGAAATCGCTCAAGACTTCAAGGTAGTTTTACTGATTTAAGTGGGTTAATTGATTTTATCTTAGTAATATCTGTATCTGGTGATTAATTTTTACGTGTTTGTTTGTTTTGGCAGACTGATCTGAGGTTCCAGAGCCACGCTGTGCTTGCACTTCAGGAGGCTGCCGAGGCTTATCTTGTAGGTCTGTTTGAGGACACCAACTTGTGCGCTATTCATGCTAAGAGAGTCACCATCATGCCTAAGGATATCCAGCTCGCTAGGCGAATTCGTGGTGAACGGGCTTGAGTTCTTCCTCGATTGGATGCACTAGTTCATTGGATTTGATACAATTAGTGTAGGTTTTGATATCATTAAACTATTGTGGAAAGGTTAATTGAAGTATAGTTGCTGAATTTTTATGTGAATTTGAGCTTTAATTTAGATTCTTTTATATTGTTGGGTATTGTTCATGATAGTTGGTTCTGCTGCTGTCTGGAGTGGTTGATGCTTCTAAATTCTTAATTTATTTGCCATTTCTTAAGTGTGTTTGTTGAACTTGCTAGTGTTAAGCTGGGGATCTGTTGCTATATTGCCAGCATAAAATATGACGGAGCAGAAATGGGAACCCAATATTTGAACGGGGGTAAATGATTTCGAGTTCAAAATTATAGGCAACTAGCGCTCTGCTCTATTAGCAATGTAAGCTGCTAGGAATTGGCAAGGTTTTTCCTCGGCTCTACTATTCTGGTCCGGACATATCATGCTCTGCGCCGTTATGTGGAGGAACTGATTTTTCCAGAGTCAAGTAGGGCATGAAAACCCCCCCTGCGAATAATGATTAGAAGCCTCCAGTACGTCTCGAGATTAAACGCCCGAGGTGATCCATTCCTATGCCGAAACGGGATGTGAATGGACTTCTTGTAGTGAAATTGTATATGTTTGAAAGTCTAAGCATCATATGGAAGCATTTGGTTTTAGAGAGCATACGAACACGGTTCGTGGTCTCGCCTTCTATCCTTTGCAGTATCCAGCTTCTGTGCTGCCAGTTCTCCATTGCCCGCGCTTCTCTGATCATTTGTTACCAATGAGTCTCGATTACGTATTTTAAAAATGTTCAATTGAAAATTTTTTATTTTTTTATTTTAAATTAATATATTTTTAAATAAAAAATATTTTAAAAATTAATCATTACTACATTTATAAACACATTTTTAGAATTTATTTGCGAACCACGCGGATTAAAGCTAAGGTGAGCCCATTTTCTAAGGAGGCTCGATGTTAGGCCTATGTAATTTAGATGGACTTCCAATGAGGTTGGCCCATGGCCAGTGTGAGCTCACAGCTTTTTCTCATTTAGGTGTTTGGATATTATCTTTCTATTTGCGCAGGAGCCGAGCAGAGAATGATTTGGTGGATGATGGCGGGCGGTGTTTGTTTGTACTTTTCACCAACTCACTCCATTTTACTGAGCAGCAACATAATATTGAAGATGGATTGCAATCTTTTTATCGGCAGACCTGCCCGTGAACTTTTGGAATCAGATCCTGAATTCCCGTGACACACTAACTCCACTAACATCCACTCTCCAGCATGCTTATCTTCAACAGCCATGAACTCCCTTTTGGACGCATAATAACCCCGTCCTGTCATTTACTTGTCTTCTTTATATAAAAAATCCTTCGATTCACGTGAATGGCATATTTAGCCATCCACTAGAACCTATCCCAGCATTAGTTCGCATTGCATGGCTCGTGCGGCAATTCACTTTAACTCCACCCACCAACTGTCGCTGTTCTTTCGTATTTGATTCTTTTGCACGTTTTTGTACTGTTGTGCATGCCGCATTGAATTTCTCACCGGTGGCGGGACTATAATCAGCAAGATGATAACTATTCTCCTGTAGCAGGACCACTCGATTCCAGAAGTTCTTATGACAAAAACTTCTTGATGGTTGCTCTTTGGCATTATGGGGGCAGGTGCACATTTACATTAGATAGCAAGCGGGCTTGAAGTGTAGTTTGAACAGACTTCTAGTCCGAGCACTTGAACCTTGTTCTTTAGTTGACAAGTCAAGCTTTCAGCCTTTCACAATGAAATTTTAACTTCATACAGTATGTAACAAATAACCAACTGAATAACACTGACGCATTTATAGAAAATTTTCATTTGCAATACGTCGTCAAAGAGAAGAAATGAGTTGAATTGAACCAAGAAAAGCCAAACTGATAGAAAAATCCAGCATATATGGATCGGTAAAACATCATATTTTCTCGCATCGTGTTAAGCATTTTTCATTTTTCAATTTTTCTCATTTAAACGATGTGTAGGCCAGCTGGTTAGATAATGGCTGATTGTCTCTTCCTTCGCGTGATTTCTTAACACCAACTCTAAGACCTGTATGAACAAAGCCTGTGATCTTGTCCTATCGGTGCAGATATCGTCAGTAAAATGAAAGTTACAACTGGAGAAGACATCAATGTAACAAAGACAACTCAGCTACCTTAATATCATTGAAATCAGAATGTCAAGATTTAAATAATAAAAACAGATCAAAACAACATGCATGTGACTGAGAGAGAGAGGTTAGAAAATACAATAAGAAACAAGAAGGGATTGGACATTTTCAAGTGAGAAAAAGAAAAGAGAGAAATGACACCGCTGAAATTTGCCCTTTCCTAGCCCCCTCAACCATATTAGCCCCCCCTCCCTTTTTTTAATTATTATTACTGTTCTGGATGCTACTGATGCTGTCCTAATAATGCAATATTGTTTTGTTTAGTATAAAAGAACTTCTCAGTTACGAGTTAACTACCTCTTTCCCTACAAGATATGCATAGATTCTATTAAAGGAAGTAATTTAGTAAGTTGACGACTAATTGGCTTAAACAATGAAAACCCAACAATTTTTAAAGTTGCAGTATGCATAAAACATCTCTAACGATGGTTTGCCATTTAGCTTGTACCCATTGAACTTTCAAATTAGCCCAAAACATGGTTTTGTTCTGATTCCGAATGACTCTTGTATCTTCTAGCAATAAATCTCTTTAAGATCTCATGTTTGAATTTCTCCTTAATTTGTGAATGAAAAAGAAAAAAGAAAAACAATCCTGTATTCAATACTCTTGTGCTCAACAGTGCTTGTCCTCTCCCCCTTTTTTTCTCTTGCAATTCGAAGGAACGAACACGGTTGTACAAGTATCTCATGTTATTCGTATTCATACATTCTCAGTACCAATATTGTACATACCTTTGCACGCCGATGCATTGCTTCACCCTCCTCATGAATCGAAGGCGCCTTTATACCTTCCTACGCCAGGAATTCATATTATACGTAACTGCTGCTACGAGGAGTGCTTTTTGCTTACCACCTTGCCATTTCAGTACTAACAAGAATATATTTTTCTTTCACGCTTCTATCTTCCACAAAGGATTATTCGATGTAAAATCCATTGATTAAAACAAAATTAATCATGAGATAAAGAGAGGGAGGGGCCAAAATAGTAAAATGCTGTAAATTAATTATATGTGTGTAGATTCAATTAATCCAATCTTATCTCAAAATGTGTACAGATTAAAGAAAAATGCCAAACCAGCTTATGAATCTATCTATAACTCTAAATGAACAGTCACTGAATTTTGACCCAGAGGCCTTCACTAGGAATCTCTTGATGAACCACGTATAACATGTAATGACCTGAGGGTGCAAGATCACCGGGAGGCGGTGTCATAACTTGAATGTCATAAGTTGAAGCGCCCACATCGGTCACTTTCTCATTCCCTAGCACCAACAATCTATGATTCATAGAAAATGAATGTGTATTGAATGCTGGTGCCACCATTGTCACCGACACCATATCTATTACTATTTTGCTCGTGACTTTGAACCTTACCAGCAATTTTTGTCCGTAGCCAATGTTTTTACCTTTGGAAGCAGATGATGAGACAATTTTTGGTCTCAAATCATCAAATTTTGGATCCAAATACGGTGGAGAAAATGCTTCTAAGCTCAATTCAGTTGGAAACAATACCCCGGTGAATTCATATCCAATATGGGGATTGCTACCACCAACAAGACCCCTGCCATCACGAAGCAAAATTGCTGTGGAATGGTACATTCTTGGTATTGTACTCGGGTTTTGCAACTCAAACCTTGACCCTGACGCGTCGTCTGGCCGGTAGAGGACAGGGTTCAAGACCGGATCTCGCCCATTTTCCCACCCGGCAGTACCAGCTCCAGCTCCATTTATGATCAAAACATTGCCGTTTGGAAGCAATGTCATATCGCCCATGACTCTAGCTGTAGGCATAGTTTCCATTACCCATCGTGGATTAGGGTCGTTTATCTTGATCCGGGCACAAGTATCCAAAGCTTGCACGAAATTACCCTTTTCCACCCTAGCAAAAGACCCTTTTGGTGCACCCCCACACACCAAAACTTCAGCTTCAATTGTTGAAGCCTGTAAATTCTTCAATGGAAGCAACACTGCCGAACCTGTGCTTGGGTAGCTTCGTGGATCACCTCCAGGTATTGCGGGATAAGTCTTCACCACCTTATTTGTCTTGTGATCGAACAATATAGCTCGGTTGTTGGCGAAAATGAATAAATTCCCATCACCATTGAGAAAAACAGATGGATATAAGTTGTTCTCAATGCCACGATCATTAGTTTCCATCAGAAATCGCAGACTGTAAACATTCGGGGCAGAACTTTTTGGATAAAATTCATAATTGAACTGCCTTCTGCCACCAATAATAATTTGCCTACCATCTGGCAGTATATGACTGGTGGCATACCATCTTTTTGCCTTAAGACCATCACCAACTTCTTCCCAATCACAATCAGCCCCATTGCATGGAGAAAAAATCCTGACCTTACGTTCACCATCATTGAAACCGCCGGTTTGAATCAGACTCCCATCAGGGACCACAGCCCCGGAAGAACACCAAACATCACTTTGGACCATAAGTGGCCTGAATCTATTAGCCAAAACATCGTACTCAACAGAATGAGCAGAACAGTCATATTTGATAACTAATTCACTCGAATCATTCCGACATTTTCCATCTGGTAATGAAAGATTCGACCTGCCAAAGTCAGTTCGATCATAGATCACTACACGGTCATTGCTGAGTAGTTGCATATGCATTGCTGTTATGCCAATGCTATTTTGCAAGAGTTGCCACTGGCCACCGCCAGCAGCGTAGGTCACTGTCCGGTGGCATGGTTGAGCAGCAAAGAACAGTTGCAAGAAGAGGAAGAAAAGTATCGAAGTATAACGAGGCATTGATGGCTGGGACATGTTTTTTGTCTGTGATGATGAGTTGTGATGGTTTGGTCGGATGTGGGTTGTTTTTATAAATAATAAGGCTGTCTGGACGCTAGACTGAACTGAGAGGTTGCCAGTTACCACACGCTTTGACATCGCGTAGGATATGATTCTAGTGGTAATCTGGTCAGTGAAAACGATGAGTTTGTTCGAAAGCCAAGATATCCAACTTGCGATCGAGCTGGAGATGAACAGAAGGGTGTATTTGGGATCGGACCTGAATTGAAGAGCAAGCGGTGAAAGATAAAGAGATTGTCATGAATTTACACATATATTATAAGAATGTAATTTATTAATAAATATAATGTATCATAATTTTTATTCGTATATATTTTTCTTTTCTTTTTTTCCTAGTGGTAGTGGAATGGGCTTTGATGAGGTGTATTTTAGGAAAAAATAAAATTTGAGATCCACGAAAATAGAAAGTTACAAGTCTCCAAACACGAGATATTGTCATTTTTCTTAATTTATGAAGGTTATTAACTAATATGTCATGTCACCATTTTTCATTCATTTTTTCTAAAATATATTACCTCTCGTAAAATGAATATTAATAATTAGTATTTTAGGAAATGGTATTTTTAGATGATAGTAGCCATTTTATACACCGCTCGAATGGCTAAGTCGTCACCCATGTATTTTTGGGTGTTATGTATGCATGTCCACTGTTTTTTATTTAGACAAATATGAAATTATTTATAAATTGTCTTTGTAATTATATATAAAAAAATATTGTGAAAAAAAATGCCTCTTGATCTCATAATCAAAGTTTTTTATTATTATAGGAGCATTTTTTATAGTTTAATCATGTATTTTAATTATTTATTATTTTTTTATAATTATGTAAAGTGTTATTTAACTTAAATAATAATAATTAAAAAAACCATGATAAAAATACATTTTTGATACTAAGTTTATTTATATATTTTTTCTTTTAGTGTCATTTTGATCATTTTACCATACAATTAAGATGAGAAAATATTTATTTTCTTTGTTTTATCTAGTAATGACAAATAAAACATATGAAAAGATCTTAGTACCTGTATAAGCATAAGCATGTTCTTAGTTTTTCAAGTGAAAAGATAAATATCATTACACTATTTCATTGAGCAATGATAACGACTACACAACTAAAGTTCTTTTTCGAGAGGCTTTAGTTCAATAAAGAATAAACAGAGGAAGTATAACATATAACCTTATTAAACAACGAGTTATTCTTCTATTTTTAAAAATAATATAGTTTTTGTAACAAAAAAGGATTATTTTTAAATATTATTTCTCCAAAATTTATTTATTTTTGCATATTTTTTATAATTTGAATTCAATTAGAAATTCAAATTAATATCCTTAAAAAAATCTCAAACATAAAAATTGATTTAACCACGCTAGTTGAATTTAATTTACAAGGCTTCAATTCTATAAAATGACATTAGCACATGTTATTTTCAACTGTGAGTATAGATAGAAGGGGGATTAGTTTAGGCCTCCGTTAAGTTTTTATAATGGATCTTCTTTTTCTTAGTCTCTTCTAGTAATGCACTTCTTAAGAAAAAAAGTTTCTTGTATAAAATACATTGATCCATTAATTATTAAATTTGATTAAAATGATAATTTAATCCAACAAATCTATTATTCAAAACTTAATTAAAATTAGATTTTTATTTGAACTTCATAAGATATTGACTCAATTAAATTCAGATAAACCATAACTTGGTTCATCCTGCCAAATTCAATCAAAATCTTTCATGAACGAATTTTCTTTTTTTTTAAAAAAAATATATCATGATATTGTTATAATAAAAATAGTTCAAATATATTAATACAAGCACTTTTCCAAGTTAGACCCAGGCCAGGTCGACCAATATGCTCGAAGTGAACCTTCGTCGACTCCAACCAGGGCCTATCCCCGTCCTAAAAGTTGAACATTAATGAACTTCATTTCGTTTTTAGGGGGAAAACAATAACAACTATCTATCTGGCCTTTTTAAAATTTCTAAATTGCATTGATGTCATGAGACGATGAAAGTTGCTTAGTTGTTTGGATTGAGATTCGAGTGTGATTTGTGACAAAATAAACTTTAAATTAGAGTTGTAGAAATCTCCCACATAATAAATGATTCTTCTGACCCATCTTTCTCCAGTGATCCAAACTGGGTCCACGCGCTCAAATACTGCCTCAAGCAGTTTTTCTAAGCTTCGGGAGAACTTATGCAGGAAAGGTGCTTTGAGCAGAAACAGCAACTATCGGATGATACCTCTCTGGCCTTTCCACCATTATTTTTTCCAGCAAATTCTTTTTCCCAAGTGAATAGAATTAGCTTCATGAACATGCCTCTTTTTTGTGTTAATTTTATCTCGATAACAGGGCAGAGGAAGGCTGCTACGGTACCAATGTGTAATGATTAAGGAGATGGTCTCTTTTGTTTGTAGCTGTGGCATTGCTTGTGCATACTTTACTCTTTGTTTGATGATATGGAACTATTATATTCTTTTCATATGTTCCTAAACTGTGTATTTAATATTCTAATTCCCAACAGCCTGATGGCTTTTCTTTTGCCCTTTCTCATTTGAATAAATAAGAACATTTCTTGTTGAATATTTTATTTCAAAGTCATGTACTTTATCATCAAGAATAAAGCTTGACGGTTAATAATATAAGTTTCAAATTGATAATTGCTGATATTATTCTATAATTACAAGTTTCATTTTCATACGTGAAAGACTAGCATTAATGAAGTGCTGGTCTAGTCATTAAAACATCATTATATCTCTATAAAGGTAAGAATATAAATTTCATCCCTAGAAAGCATACTTGTTGGGAGGGATAACTACAAACTCCAAACAAAACTAATTTTATTTTTCAAAAAAATATAAAGATACCCAAATAATATATATATATATATATAAAAGAGACCGATGCAACACAAAAATGAGATAAAACTATAATAGAATATTTACATCAAGTCTCAAAATATCATCAAGATATTGTCCTAGCATTAATTTTAGACCAAAACTATTGTTTAAAGTATTTTTAGCTTTAAACTATTTTTATTTCTTGATAAGAACTTCTATAATAAATACTCAATGAACATTGTTTTTTGCTAAAAAAAAATTTATATATAAAAATAGGAAAAAGTCCTTAATTAATTATTTTTAAAAAAGTTTAAAGAGGAAATTAAAATTAATGGTATGCATAGTAGTTAGATAGTAATTTTTAAGATTTGTCTTCATCGTAAAGAGTAAAATTTGATGGTAAATGATAGGAGTTTTAGTTTGATGAAAGGATAATTATTAATATTTATTTTATGATTTTAAGGAAAATCATAAAGAAAGATTTACATCTAGTTCGATCTCTTGGAATAGATTTTTAAGTAAACCTCAAATATATATATATATATCCTCAAACTATTGTCCTGGTACGTTTTAAATTTACACCAAAACTATTGTTTATAATGATTTTATTCTCAAAATATTATTTTCCCCTTAAAATAACTTCTTCTTCTTTTGCTAAATAAAAGTAAAATTTGAAAGAAAAGTCTTGAAAATGGATAAAAGTCCTTAATTGATTTTTAAAAAAAGGTTTAAAAATAAAATTGATATAAAAAATTATTTGGTGATAAAATTGATACGGTCTATATAGTTAGATAATAATTATTAAGATTTATTCTTCTATGGGGTGTTTGGGGTGTGATAAATGTTGTTAATTTTTTAAAGGTTATTTTTAAAAAATACACATTAAAATAATATTTTATTTATTTTTAATATTAATATATCAAAACAGTTCAAAAACATTTAAAAATATATTTTAAAAAATCAAGTTTTTGAAAAACGCATTTCTCACTAAAACACCACCAAAACGCAACATGTAGCATTTTTATTTGCATGCTAGGAAATTAATCTACAAGAACCTTGTTTTTGTTCCTTCTGATGGGTCTTTGGTTAGTTTCTCGTTCATTTATGGAGTGCAAGTGTTCTCAATGAAAAACAGAGTGTACCATTGGCTTGTATGTCTGACCTTTTGGATTTCAATCCACATAAATCATGGAGCCAGTGATCAGTTGCGTTTTACTAAAGATTTTAAGGCGTTTGTCATGGATATTTTTTTTATATTTTTAGATATTTTTCAAAAACATTTTTTACTTGAAAAAAATTATAATATTTTCTAATGATTTTGATATTAAAAATAAAAATAAAAATAAATTCATTTTTAACTGAAAAACTATTTTAAAGAACTTCGCAGTGCACTTTAAGAGATGAACGTTATTGATTTTTGAGGCCCCCTGTTGAAGATATATTTCATGATTTTTTGATTTTTTTCTTGAAGTTAGTTTTTTTCAATGTAATGATATAAAAAATATTTTAAAAAGATTATTTTGGTTAGGTTGTACAATTTCCATAATTTTTTTGCTTCCTGAATTTAGTACTGTTTGGGTCTGGTTGTTTTGGTTAGGTTGTTAACTCCTGGATTGTTATTAGGATATATTAGCTTATATTTATGTAATTCATTCCATTTTCACTAGTCTATTTATTTCAGAAATGGATGTCTCAAAACTTAAATGAAATGAAATTAAATTAAATTAGATTTTAATTTAAATTGAAAAATATATTAATCAAACCAAACTCGGATAACCTTTGTTAATATTAACGGTTTTCTTTTTAAAAAAAAAGAAAGAAATAATTTTATTTTGATAAAAAGAATTATTTATCAAGATTGTGAGTTGATTCGAATTCGATTACTCGCTAACTTGGATTTTTTTCCCGATTAAATCCCGTACTGAAGTTGACAAGTATAAGTTTGCTTGCTTGTCAGATTCGATCCCACATGCGGTCCTGTTCTTGCGAAATAGAATTGCTTCACAAAATCTTTAGGTCCTTCCTTCGACTAAGTAAATGGAGACCAAAACTTGTCGACCAAGAAATGAAGGAATGATCTGGGTGGAAAGTTTCCCTTTATGCAAGTGTGTTTATCAAAGGCTTGTCGAATCTCTTTCGGTGCATTGCTAGCCTGTAATGACAATCTGTAAAGAACACGAGCTCCTCCATCCTTGACGAGCTGGTCTTTTAGCTGACTAAGCTATCTCTTCGGGTTTTTTCTTTCTGATTTATGCATCTTGCAGCTGCAGACAAACTTGTTTTCCTGAACCAA